GTGATTTAACACGCGTTACAGTTATAGCTCAGCGAATCATTGCTTCTTCTTTTTGAATCAGAAAATTTGCTTACTTTTCTTGTTGAAACTTTTTTCGGACCTTTTGACTGTTGCTTTACAAACCCTACATAAACTATCAATGATATTAAGGTTGCACCTGAAACTAATGAGATGATTATTGGCAAATAATCAGCTTCGGGCGCAACAACATCAACCTTCTCAGTTGATAGAACACTTAAGCTGGTAGTATCAGCATAGCTATCATTTCGTAGACTAACATTGATCTTGAATTTACCCGATTCAGATAATCTCATCGAGCAATTATAGATCGATCCGTTGAGTTTAAACACATCCCAGGATTTCATAAACTATTACTGCATATTACATTAATATTAATAATCCTTGTTTGGACTAATAAATCATGCATATAATTCATTGCGAGCAATAATCACCTGGATGCGGAGGAACATAAACTTGACTATTAGTTGATTATTCATTTTTTCATTTTTTCTTAAAATGTTTCCATTTACTAATAACTTATTTTACTTTCATTTTTCAAATTCAGAAATCCTTAAATTTAGTAAAACCGAATTTTATGCGTGTTATTGCAAAGGCGATCTTATATAGAGGGAACACATGGTAAATACAATATACTCATTTTTAATGCAGACAATAAATCGAACAAAGTAATTTGGATTAATCAATTGATACATTATGCTACATTTTCAGTTTTGTGAGTTATGAATATCAACATATTCCCACTCTAAATGAATGATTCAATTGATGAATAAAAGAAAATAGGTGTTCTAATTTCGATAGAAGTTTTTCAACTGTTGCTTATTGATCCACAGGGAAAAAATTCGATTGGTATCTTCAAAAACTGGAAAATATTCCAATGACCGATGATTAAAATATCGATGAAATCGTCTGTGTGTGTTTTATCCTCTTCAGTACATGTTAAGAATGTATGGATTGAGAACACTGGCGAGATTCATTGAGACGTAAACTGTTATACTACAGTACATCAATCAAAAATCATATTAATGATAAGGATACCTTAAAAGAAGACTGATTTTCGCACTAATTTGATGCTACTCAATCAAGCCAGCTAGCTTTGGATTTGTATTATAACCAAGCGAGTTAATGAGTCAAAATGATTGAATTATTTATTTTAATAGTGATTTGTTGAAGAAACAATAAATAAGCTATTAGACAATAGATTTGTGAGAAAGTTGACAAAACTTTTGATCTCAATTTTTACTGCAATTCGCCATTTGCAAGTATGTTAAATGAGTTTTTAAAAAAACAGTTGGTTAAAATATCTTTGCTCAAAATTTAATCAATCAATAAGTGCAGGTTAATACAAGAGTTATTGTTGATTTAAACAATTGGATAAGAAGCATAATCAGCAACACCACACATGTTGTTGCCTCTGTACATTCTGAAGTAACCTGATTCACCGAAATCTTCACCCCAACTGTTCTTGAGAATCCAATATGGAGTACCGTTTTCAGAGCCATATCCGACAATAACTACACCATGGTCAAGATCTTTAGGGTCACTTGAGCACTCGTCGGTATTTAAAATACCAGATCTAAAGGGAAAAAATGATGAACAAATCAAAAAATTG